CTCACAATTAAAATATTAGCAACAGGTTCCTGGGTGAACTGTTAATTGTGGCTGGATGTGGTTGTGGATATGGGTGTGGCTGAGTGTAGGTGTCTTGGGTGTAGGCGAGGGTGGGTGTGGGTGGAGTGGGGGTGCGGGGGTCCCCCCCCCCCCCCCCCCCCCCCGCCATCTGTCTCTTTTAGACGATTTCTAATTCTCCATCAGAGTACAATCTGTTAGACTCAAATTTTTATGACAGCTAAATTATCAAAAATGATGGAACCGATGCTCGAGAAAAAAATTTTAAAAGCAGATCTTTAAAAACATCAAACCTGCATAGAATTCAGACTTTACTTAATCCGATTGATCAGACATTTTTTCTGAAGGCATTCGGAACAAACTCGCAAAGGTGTTTATAAAAATATCATTTTTCGATTTTTAACTAAAAAGAATTACGGAAAAAGCTGCAGTAAAAATTTGAGCCTGCCAGATTGTACTCTCACGGAGAATCAGAAGTGGTCCGAAGGAGGGAGTATCTTAAAACATAATTTATTAGTTTTAATTATATATATATATATATTTTTTTTTTTTCTATAGGATGAAATTGATTACATGAAAAAATTCGATTCACAACTTGATACTTCGAATGTTCAAATAACTGGTGAATTACAATTAAATAAAACAACCGATTTTAGTAAGCATCAACCATTACCTCATCCTCAACCTTCACCACCACCTCAATCAGCACCACCAATACCTGACACAAGTAATCAAAAAGAATCAACAGTTTCAATTAAAATTTAACTTTATGTCTTGTCTTTAGTTCCTCAATCTTCTTCATCCAGTCCAATCGAATATAATAAACCAACACCACCAGTTTGGACAGATGCAACACGACAAGGTCTTAATGATCTATCTCGTTATCTTCCATTTCGTTTATTAATACCAAATTATGTTCGACAAGAATTAATAAAAAGTCTTGATATTGAACAATTTAATGATGTATTAACACTTTCATGTCAATCATCAATAGAATGTATATTAACAATAATAGATCAAAAAGATCTTGATGCATCTATTGATATCTTAACAGATTTAATGGTTGCTTTTAAATGTTCATCAGATCAATATGAAATTCGATTATTATTTCAAAAAAAATTTATATCAATCATAACGGGAAAACGCAATGAACGTCTTGAACGTTTACGTGATAAATATCAACTTGATATGGTTAAAGTTTTTCTACAAACATGTCCACAAAGTGATGAACGTGTTGTACTATTACGTTGTCAACATAGTGAATATATTATTTAGTAAGTTTTCTTGTACAGGATGATGTTTAACGGCAGATTCATTAGCTCGACATCTTTCTATATTTACAATGTCTAAGTACGAGAACAAATGTATGTCATAACTTAGTCAGCATGTCATTGGACAAGTGATTCGAGACAAACGACCGTTAGTGACTTTCTCAAGGTTATTTCATGGCTAATGGTACTGACATTTGAGCTTAATATCTATTGGATGCGTGCTGATCAATGTAGCCATTCAGTCGTTTGAAAAATACACTATATAACATTGAAATGTTGTTAACAGAGTTCATTCAGTTCATAAGACATATGATTACAGAATCCGGATGTTCAAAGTTTCCACAAGATGATCTTATCTAAAAATAAATCAACAAAAAAAATAGCTTCTGATTGATAAGATATGAAAGCGGAACATATTAGAACAGGAAATGAGACTACAAGAATAGTCCAGGACAGAAATATTAAGCATCATCAACAATCATCATATATGATGAGTTTATTGAGTGGATGATACATATGTATATCAGGTTAATCGACGACAAAAATTGAATTATGAAAAAGAATAAGAAATGCTAAGATGGATTGATGGTGATCATATTACAAAAAAGTCATAACGGAAAAATGCTATTCTACAACATAACTGCTTCAATACGGCATCCACTGTAAAGAGAGATAAAAATAAACAAACCATTCGCGTATTTTTTGTCATGGTTTACACAAAATCCTTGTTTTTAAACGATACTTCGTTCAATCGAACAAAATATGTGTTGAAGAAGAATGAAACTAAATCATCATGTCGAGAGTAGAAGCCTGTAAAGTGGTTACGCATGACCGTTATTAACTCTATGCGGTTGCCAATATCTTAGGAATCAATTTTCACCCGTTTCTGAGTAAAGAAGAAAATAATTCGAAGTTCTACAAACCGTTGATCAAACTTCATTTTCACTTATTATACAATCATTATGATAGCAGTTCACGCAAATACAAATTAAGAATGCACTGAAACTCTTTCTATTTTCATATGCACATCGAGTTAAAAAACTTAATATCATTATTTATTTTTGTTTTAGTTGTATCCGAGAAATTATGCAAAATATTCTTGAACAAGCTCATTTTACTGATGAAGACAGTAATCAATCATATCCAATGTATGATCCATCGATAAATTATGATGAATCATGTGCTCATGAATATGGTGCTTACAAACCAAATGATACTTGTGAAATAATGTCAAATAGTAATATTGCTGCTTCATCTGAAGACTTAACTGAACCTAAACAGCAATCAACTATGTCAATAAATTCATCATCATCATCATCATTATCAAAAAACCGTCATAATTATGAAGATGCACCATTAAATTATGATGATACAGAACCAGAGTCTGATGATAATGATGATGATTTTCAATCTTCAAAAATATCTGATGATAAACGAATATTTGTTAAAGAATTAAATTATGTTAAAGGAAGACAAGTTGGATTATTAATTGGACCATTTGGTATATTTATTTTTCTTGTATTAATACTTTTTTATTTCTCCATAATTTATTTTTTAGGTCAACATATAACACAAATTCGTGAACAAACCGGTGCAAAAATTCATTTAACAAATGATGATAATGAACCATCAGTTATTAAAGGAACAAAAAGTCAAATCAAGCAAGCACTTCGTTTAATTAAAGAATGTCTACAAACACAAAAACCAATTCCACGAACAGCTTACAAAGGCGGTCGACGTCGTTAAATTTTGTTTTCTTTTTGTATTTCGTTTTTTTTTTTCGTTCAACGTGTACATTCGAAATAGGTCACAGCTTTGATACTTATGACTGTGAAGAATGACTTTATATTCATTGTTGTTTTAGATGTCTTGTTATAGTACCTTATGGTAGATAAATGACTAGCCGATAGATAATTTTATTAGCCATTAGTTGACATAAAGACAGTTTGCAAGAGATTTCTTTTCATCCTTTCATAGTTGATATTTATGAGGTTTTCATATTTGATTTCATTATTATCATGATTATAGTCTGAAATGACTTTGATAAGTTGTTAATTAATATAAATGAAAATGAAAATTCATCTACACATGATGATGAACCATATGATGAGGTAATTGAAAACATGGAAAGAAAAATGAATTATCAAAAAAGTCAATATGAATTATCGTGATAGAAGAAATGTTCATATATTTGTTTAGAGTTATGACGTTCATCACCAACATTGTGTTTCATTGCAGCATAATCAGCAACAAGCAAACATATACTTAGCGAAATTGATCATGTTGCTGTTTATGAAAGAAACTAAATAGTATACTTTTTCATATAAAATAAATGTTTGAAAATTGCACTATCTCTGTAAAAGTATCTGCTGGATGTTGATTAGTCATGGTCGGGTACTGGTTATGAAAAGTTTTATCGATGCAGAACATTAGTCCAAAGAACTTACATGCTTTTTTTGTTTATACTTAAGTAATCTACTCTTGAATTTTTTATTGATCCTAATTCTGATATCAGAAGACTGCAAGTGCGATGCGCTAAAACTAAAACAAATGACTAATGTATTAAGGTTCTATTTCAAGAATTTCGTAATATTGATTAAAGAAGAAATTCGGTTTCATTCTGAAAGATCTAAAATAATCACTGATAAAAACATCAATGAAATTTATGATCTTTATGAATGTTTACTCAGATAAATTCTTCAATTTATTACACAAGTTTGTTCCATATTACAAACAAACACGCAAAAATTATGAATTCATTTCCCTTATTAAAGCTATTTAATGTAATATATACACAATAACTCTAATATAAAAAAAAGCTTCCAATATGGTGAGGATGTATGTCAAGCTTTATTACAAATGTCAATAAACAGTAACATGCAACAGAATGTTTTTTTTAATGAAACAACACAACTTTCATTTTAATGGAATAGTCAATAAAATAAACGTTAAAAAGAATCTTTACAAGTTGTTTATGAAAGATCTCGTTGAAATAAAATTTTAATTGAGATTATATATAAGACGTCATGCGAATTACTTAATAAATTAATAACAGTAAATAAATTTCTGATAAATGTTACATCAAAAATAAATTTCAGATATTTTTCACTTGCTAAAGGTTCATATATTTTCTTTTACATTCTCAATTATTAATATTTGTGCATGAATAACGAAGAGTGATATGTATTTGTTTCGCTTAAATAAATGAAGATTTGATAATTATTTAAACTAATTACGAACTGAGCTTTTAAATAAAATTAAGAACAAGCAAAAGAAAAAACTGGTAATGAAGTGACAAAATTTCATTTTTCTTTCGAGAAGTCAAGTCAATTTCCAATATTGAGATATTCAATAATTCCTGCTCACCAATACACTTTAAAAATAGTTTTTGTTATTATATTCAAAAAATGCAAATAACAGTCATTATAGTACAGTCCCATTTCGTCAACTAATTAAGACTAATTAGAGAATTTTTCTGGTCGGCCAACATCATTTCTTTCTCGTTTGGTAGACAAATATTTTTTCCATTTGACAGACCATATTTTAATAATTAAGTGTTTAATCGACAAGTGAAGGCACAATAGAGAACATCAAGAATCAGTACTTATTTATTAAAAACTAAACTAAACATATGACCAATAATAATAGTATTGTTTATTTTTAACTAATAACATTCGACAAAAAGGACTGTGAGCATCTTTTTAATCTAAATCCACACACTACTCATTATGTGCTTAATTAATTGAGCTCTTAACTTGTCGACGAAACAAGATGATACCGTTCTTCTTATTCTTTTAATCACTGATCAACGAAAGTACCTTTTACTAACCAATAGAGATACTCTTCGTCAGCTAAAATGGCTAACAAACGTAAAATAAAACTATTATTAAAATAAAATGTTGAAATATTTAATATTTATCGTATTTTACACTATCAGCTTAAGTTAAATGACACTTTATTTTAAAATAGAAGATAACTGACAAGTTTGATATGAACGATATTCTTTATTTTCAATAATGGAAATAGAGAAACATCAAAATTTGAATTTTTTGTTCGTTAATTCAAGTTTTTGAATATCGACGAATGATATATTATTTGCATTGTACTATTATTTTTGAAGAACATGTGATAGATAAACACGTGGTCTCTTCCGCATGTTCGTCATATTTAAAGTCATTCACAATTTAAACTAAACAAAAAACAGTCATCATTTGATCCGAATAAATAAATAAAAAGTATTCATTTGAAATCCTAATTCCTAATGAATCGACAATTATCATTATCGTGTGATAACCAAGTTTGTAACGACTCAATTTAATCATTTTATATCATGTATTTGCTTTTTATATAGTTTTTCCCAATGCATTCTTATTCTCATCAGTTGAATGAACAATTTTTATGCATGAAAACAAAACCAATTATTAGAAATTCTTCAATAATAAATCAAAACTTATTTTTGGAATCACATAATCCCGTTCGTAAAGATTTCATTTATTTAAATTTAATGCTTCAATAGATATATATATATATTTAGTATATTCTGTCTTCCATATGTCATCATCCTTCTCATGATCTTAATAAAACTCAAATATTTCGTTCTAATTCATCATCATTATCAACAATAAATCGTCATTTATCAATGCCATCCTATGATCAAGTAAATCAACAAGATTTTTCTTATTTTTTCAAAATGATTATTTTATTCAAATAGTTTTCTTCAATGCATCATCGATTTGAAGAGGATTATCCATTACGTATTCATGTTGGAAATATACCATTTCTATGGACTATTGATGATTTATGTAAACAATTTCTAGTAAGAATATTAATCATAGACAAAAAAAAAAAAATCTTATTCACACGATTTAACAGAAATGTTGAAGTATAGAGGGTAGAAATTTGCCTTCCTCCCAAGACCATGACAGACATTACCACGGAGACGCAACAGACAGTGATAGACATTGTTGATATACAGTCTCATAACGTATTTGAATAACGTCTCGTGATAATAAATGAATCATTTCCTAATTAGACTTTTGGAGGATTAAATAAAAAGATAGTGAAGATATGTATTTCAAAATAGATAGAATAATATAGTCACCAGGTAGTTAGTTACATCGTGTTTCACATTTAAATTCCACAGGGATTGCACTGACAGCTTTCTATTCAAGGTATTTGGATCAATCAAAGATCCTGAAATCGTTTCAAATGAACGTGGTTCAAAGGTACGATGAATTCTTTCAAAGAGAAAAACTAATTGTTTTTTTTTTCTTAAGGGATTTGGATTCATTACGTTTCTTCGTCATAGTAAGAAATGTATCAATAAAAAAACAAATCTACTAATAATTTTTTTTATAGGTGATGGTTTAAATGCAATTCGTGTTAAAAATGGTTCTATTGCTGATGGTAGAAAGATAACAGTAAGATTTGTTTTTCGTTATTTATTTTAATAAAATTCATATGAATTTATTCTTTTTTTTCTTAGGTTGCTTTAGCATCTTCTCGATCATCAACTCGAATAAATTCTTCTCATAGTCATTATTATTTATATAAATAATAACATTCTAAATTAAATAGTTCGTTTCGTTTCGTTTTGTTCCGCTTTTTTTCATTTGCAAATAAAACTAAATTCATGATTAGACGATCTGACAATCATCGCTCTTTTTCTCTCACGCATACACAAACAACCAACAACATATATTAAAGATAATTATCAGATAAAAAGAAACAAAAAGAGAAAAAAAAATAATTACGTATATATAACACAAAAGAAAAAAAAATTTATTTATCATTTTTCTGTACACCGGTTCTTATTCTCCACCACTTAATTGTTTTTCTTCAAGAATTTTTATACGATTTTTTATTTCAATATATTCTTGATTATATATTGAATTTAATGTTAAATCTTCTTTTTCAAGTTCAATTAAACGTTCTTTTAAACGTTCAATTTCATTCGGTATTAATGGATTATTATAACTTCGTATATCACTATTATTTAATGATATTGTTCTCCCAACGCGTGATATATCTGTCTTTTTTATATCTGTTGCTATTGACCATGATACTGAATGATTTATTGCTCGTTGTCGATGAGAATTTAATGATGATGTTACACTAATAGATGATGCAAGTGGTGCAGCAGCTAATGAAGAATTTGATGAAGTTGATAGTGGTGGTTGTTGCTGGTCTTCTTGTTGTTGTTGTTGTTGTTGTTGATTAGAAAATGAATTTGAGGGAACAATTGAAGGTGTAATTGCTGGTACATCGACTTCTTTGACAGATGGTAACCGATGGATTCCACTACCAGCTCGACGAACAGGAGCATGAAATGGAAGACGACAACTCGCCTCAACTAGACCCGGTGCACTTTTACTTCGTTTTAAATTAACTAAAACATAATAAATACAAAATTTTTATATGTTCTTTTTTTCTTGTTTACCTTGCTGAATTAAAGGTTTTTTATGTTTTTCAAGACGTTTAACAGCTATTGCTTCAAGTTTAACACGTACAGCTGGATATTCTTTTAATACTTCCCAAAGATCTAAATAAAATCTTCTGTAAAAAAAAAAATCAAAAAAATTTTTTTTCCTGAAATTACCTTCTTTCGAAAGGCAAAATAAATCCGAATAACCAACTGATCGAACAGATGCTGTTCGACGATTTCCACTACCCATATTCAAAATACTAATTTCTCCAAAATATGAACCTAATCAAAAGCAAAACAATCTTTCCTTTAATTTAATTCTTTTTTTCTCTTTAATACCAGCTTTTAATGTTGCCAGAACAGTCTTATTATTATCTGCCATAACATGTAATTTTCCACGATTAACAATATACATTTCTCTTCCTACTTCACCTTTTCGACAAATAAAATCTCCTGGTGAAAAAAGAACTGGTTTAAGACGTAAAACAAGTTCATTTAGAAAACCAGCTTCCGTATTTTGAAATATTTCAACCTTAACAAAATCAAAACAAAAATCAATACAAAAATTATTTTCTTTGTTAAATTTACTCGTTTTAATGTATCTAAATGAACATGTATTGCTATTTCAGCACGAAGTTTATATGGTAATAATGAAAGAACTTGATTATCATCAACTGATTTATGGCTCATCCATAAGTAATCAAACCTAAGAATATATAAAAGATTAAAGAGAAATACAAAGAAAAAAGACAAAAGATACGTTTTCATAGTAAAACTAAGGGCATCATGACCTTCTATTTTTAAAATGCTTTGTAATCAATTATTAATTTTTTAAAGGATTACTAAAGAACAAGTCGTCAATGGAATATAATTTTAGTAATTAAAAATTCTAATATGAGTGTATTGTGTATTTTTCCAACAGAATGTTCTGAATGCCTTTATTAACATCTGAAATGTTTGTACCCAATTGCATGAAAAATTCAAGAGCTACACAGATTTCTTTTTTGTTAAATTTCTTTTTTTTATAAATCTTGTTATAAATCTTATCATCATCAAATGGAAGGAATTAGACTGAAGGCTAACTCTTTAGAACTGCGGTTCTCTTTGAATTTAATTAAAATGTATTATACCTTGTCAATAGATAAACTCAATAAACCCGGAAAAATATATTCCGGTAGCCTCTCCTTGATTTCATTTCACTGGTATGCTTTTCTTTTGATTCAATCTCTCTCTCTCTATATATATATATATGAATAAACTAACCATCGAATAACACGATCTTCTAAATTATTTGGTACACGTCGTAATGACATATATGTTTTTACTGCATCCAATTTTGCTTTAAATAAAAAAAATAAATAATATGAAAACTTTAAAATTTCTTTTTTGTTACCTTGAAAATCTTTTCTAGCATTACTTAAATTCGAAACAATTGATGCAACATGTCCCATAATAGTTGCAAATAATAATAAAGCAAATATCAGTTCAATACTTAAAAATATATAATCTTCTTTTGATGTTGGTTTTGTTTCATGATTTTGTGTTAATGTTAATGTTGTTATTGACCAATATCTATATTTGAAAAAATAAGAAATAATTTTATGAATTTGGTGTTTTTTTTTTTTTTTTTGGTTTACAAAATTTCAACTTACAAAGCTTTAAAATAATCTAAACCATTATCATCAAGTGTAAATGAAAAACGTCTTGTAAAAGTTAATTCTGAACTTGTATGTAATATATAAATTAAACATGCATTCCAATGAAATATAGCAAGTAAATAATGTATCATAACAAGTGTACGAAATAAATTTGGATAATTTGTATGTCGTTCCGTTCGGTCCAAAAAAGTCCAAAAACGATAAATTTTAACTAAACGAAATAATCGAACAATTGATTTAAAACCAATTGATAAATAAAGAAAATCTAATGGCATTAAACAAAGACAATCAATATAAAATCTCGTTGTATTCATATAATAATGGCGTAATTTAATTGGATCTGTTTGTAGAACACCTTCTTCTAAATAAGCTGTACGAAAATTAAACATAATATCCATTAAATAAAGAAAATCACATGAATAATCAAATATAAACCATATTAGAAAATTTTGATGGGTTAATTCATGAAAAGAAAAACGAAAAATAATTATCCAAAAATTATAAAGAAATGCAAGACTTATTATTGATGTCCACCAATATGCTAAACGACCACTCGGATCAAATATAAATGTAAAACGACGAGATGAATGTGTACGTCGACTTGTTGGGGAATTAATATCAAATTTTTCAAAACGTGCTTTTATATCTTGTCGACGTGCTTTACGTAATTGTCGTGATTGTCGAATAAAATCACCTTGATAAGTAGAAAATAAATTATCATTATCTGTTGATTGTTGTTGTTGTTGTTGTTGTTGTTGTTGTGGCTGTTGTACCAAAGCTGATGTTGATGTTGAATTTTTTCGTACATTTGTTGTTAATTTTGTAGCAAATGTATCCAATACGGATTGTTTTGATGTTGATTGACGGATATTTGATGGAGTAATAACATCACGAATTGATGAATTTGTTGATGAATGATGTGATCGTTGTTGTTGCTGTTGTTGTAATGGTCGATTAGTTTGTTTTGTAAAGGATTGAATTGATGGTGAACTATCAAGTGGATGTTTTGAAGAAGCAGAAGATAATGGTTGAGTTGGTATTTTGACAATAGTTGAGTCAGTTGAGGAAGATTTTGTAGGAACACTTGATGTTAATGGAATCAAATGTGTTAATGATGATGTATGATGATTGGGTGAAGATAATGATGATGAAATTTTTTTACTTGTTGTTGGTGAAATTGTAATTTCACATAGATCATCATCAATAAGTGATGAATGTCCTTGTTCAGATGGTTTCGTTGATGAAAGACGCGAAATGTCATTGTCAGTGGTTGAATTGCATACTTGATAGCGTATAGACGATTTGAACGATGATGCTTGAGCCATGCCATCACGAGCGTAATGCCCAATATTGGGGCGGCTGTAACTCACGGATCTCTAATAAGAAGAGAAGAAAAAAGAAAAAGAAAAAAGAACAAGACATTTTGTCATTATAGTTCTGTTTTTCTTCTAATATTAAGGACAAGAATTGCATGTTAACTAAAAGATCATTATCAAAAAAACAAAAAAAAAATCAAGTAGTACTTCATTTCTATCTTTATCAAAATGAAATAAATAGCCAGTAGTCAACCAAAATATATAGATTAATATTTATCAAAGTTCACCTGGTCAACTTCATGGATACGGGTGAAGGAGAAAACAACCAGAATAATATAGTAAGACCGGAGGCAAGTTGAAATCAATCACCAAACTGTAGCGCCTGATGATAAGAAACAACGAAGCAGAAGAAGAAGAAGAGAAAAATGAGATGAATATAAAAAGAAAAAAAAAAGAGAGTGCTCTAAGCATGTAATGCAATCTTTTTTTTTTGTTAGAAAGATTTTAGCTCTGACGAGTGAAGGCCATCTGATATTCTTATTTAGTATATATCGACGTGTATATTCTTCAATCTTTGACAGCTGTCCATTTTTGCTTGCCCTTTATATATTCTCAAGCATCATCGAAAAAAAAGGAAAGATTTTTTAGAAACACAACGACTTGGGCAGGAAGGCAAGCATACGAGTGTAAATGATAATCGTTGTATAACATCTTTGTTTTCTCAAGACATGTCAACGCAAACATTAGTATAGATACAACATATCGACCTATATATATCCATTTCTATAGCCAAATTTCCAATAGAGTAATATCTTCAATGAAGGTGTTATTACCAATCAATAGACAGATGGGATAGCTACGTCAAAAGAAAACATATACATATATAATAATAATTGACAGACAAAACGCAATTCCCCTCATTTTTGCAGCTGCTATATTCGATAGATTGTTCTGGCATTTCTTTTTTTGTGGCTTGTTACTTAGAAACAAAGAAAAAACAAGAGGAAATATTTATTTTCAACTTACCTCTTGTTTGTTTTTGGTTACAATTGGTAAAAATCATAAAAATAATCTTGATCATTGTCAATAAATATGATCATTATCAATTTTCTTGTCAATTGTGA